AACCATAGCTAGAAGTGAATACTATACTAACATTCATCATGTGGACACAAACATGACTCCAGATGAATGACAGCATTGCTACGCAACTGTTGGAGTGCTGTTAATAAGCAACAGTTTGCCAACAAGTTCTCCATATCAACTTCAACAGTGATGTAATGTTCACAACTTGTTTCCGCTGTCCCCACGTGGCCAAAAAAATCAGAATAGGCAATCAACTTGCATGGAATATCTTATTCATCTAGGCTCTGACCTGATCACTCCTCACAAAGAAACTCAGCAGGGAGCTCAGCAGCAAAGATTGGGGAGCAGCGGTAGTGCAGAGACGGCGGCAAAAGAGTGAGCGGAGCATTGATGGCTTAAGGACAGTGCCATGATTAAAAGGGTATGCTGGATATGTGATGCGGTAAGAGGAATACTCATGTGAATATGGTGCCCACTTGAGTTGCAGGCTCTGCTTCATTGATTGTAGGTTTAAGAGATTAAGGAACACCACTGTGGGCTCTTGCCATAGGATAATGGGGTTAACTAAAAAGATGGCCTGTTTGTGTTCTTAGAACATAAAGTGGCTATAATCAGTATTTTTATATTAACAATGGGTCACATGACTACTTCTATTTGAAATGTGTCCATTACAGTGACAACCCCACATAGAATCATTACCCGACTGTGCAGCTCCTGTCAACTCCAGGGAGCTTTTTCATGAACAAAAACTCCAATAAACCCACTGTACACTACTTGCTCAGCAGCAAGCAGCAGAGACACAGTCAGAGACTAGCTGGAGAACATAGGCAGCATTTAGTAGCTAAACAGACAGATATTTTTATAAGGAACTGAAGGAGATCAAAGCAGGGTGACACAACATGACTCTAAGGGCGTTTTCACACATAAAAGTCCGGACCAAGGTCCGGACCAAGGTTCGTGTTTAGTTACATTGTATACATTTGATCCCGTTATTTTCGGTTTCACATAGTAATTTTGCTAGCGCACTAAAGAACTTTCCGATGAGCCATACCTTACCGCGTGGTCGTCCACGTGTGTTGCGTTCCTTTTGAGTTGGTGAGTAGCAGCGATGGGGCGTGCGTTGACGGTTGGTGTTAGTATTTTGGCGGGTAGGTCTTTCCCGTATGAAGTAACGAAATGAATGAGCAAGATGAGCAAATCCTGATTGTGTTATATGTATTTACTACCAGCAGCAACAACGTCAGCACCAACTGCAGCACAATAACTCAGAGAATGTACGTTCTCAATAGTGCAAAAAAGTATATCGTCGCCGACAGGAAAGGAGATTAAAATTGAAATGAATGATTTTAAAAATTAAAATTAAACATGTAAATCTCTTCCTCTCCCAGTACTTCCAACGACCTCATTTTTGCTTGTTTCTGGGCGGGGGTCTTTCTTCCGTTTTTTTTTTTCTTCTTCTATGGTACGTATGCCATATAACGTTATACCAATATATACCGTATATAATAACTCCTGTAATTGGGTCCGAAAGTCCGAACCATCCCAAAAAGTGTTTTCCATACTGTAAACGAACCCGAACCATTGGTTCAGTTTGATCCGGACCGAGACCTACCTCTTTAGTTCGGACCAAATTTTGTTCTTTTGATCCGGACCGTGGTCAGGTGGACTTTCTCCAATTTTGGTTCGGCAAACTTTGAAAAGAAAAGGTTGAGGTATGTGTGAAAACGCCCTAAATTAATGATTGTGTAAATTAGTGACTGTCATAAAGGTTATATATATAAGATTTAGAATGTAAAAAGTGTAAAGTACAGTTATGGCGTCCTGTGCAGAAAATGCCGTCACACTACCTCTGCCTGTGTTGCTATCGCAGTGTGTCTGTTGTTTGCTTACAAAGCTGGTCTGGTCACACATGCATGTTAGTGCATGTGAGTACTTCCATGAGCAGCTGAGTAGAACGACTGAAGCTGTTGTTTTTTTGATCTACGTCATTGAATTAGGGATTTATTTTGACCAAACCAGAGTTGATGATTGTTAGAACAGTGGAAAGACTTACAATGACTGTTTTGGTGAGTTTTGTTTTATTTCATTCATTTTCATTTGAATGAAGGTATGATATGCAAGGTCAAATGAACACTTTTGCTTATTGAGTCTGGTGGCAAGCGATAGTGATAGATGACAGCACAAAAGGTCTATCTCTGTAGGGCTTCTTTCCATAATGTGGTCAGACGCATTACAATCTAAACCTGTCCATGGCAAAACCAAGTACCTTTAGTGATTGTACTTTAACAGACATTTGTCTCCAAGAATTAGCCACATTGCCGGATTAGAATGCTTCAGGGATGATATATTTTTGTAGGCCAGCCCATAAATTACTTTAATTCCTTCAACAAGTTTACAAATCTACAACTTGGGAAGTTTAAGTTAGAATAGTTTAATAGTTTAGAAGAGTATGAACACAAGGCTGTAAAAGCGGACTAGTGAGTAGACAAATCTCTGTGTTCAGCATGCTGATGTTTGATGTCACAGACAACCTCTGAGGTCTCATTTAGCAGTCAGCAGCTGCCTTTTTAAGACATGTAAAAGCTTCAAGATTCAAGGGTGGGGAATTTACTGACGTATTTTATGTCATAGAACAACTTGTAAATCTCTCCAAAAAACAAAAACTCATTGAATTTGAGGTGAGGGAACCAGAAGGGACAGCCCACCATTGACTGATTTTGTCAATGGTGGGCTGTAATGTCCAATTGTTTTGGTCTGAGATGCTGGTACTCTAGTGCAACACCTGAAATTTTATAAAGTTCACCATATGGACCCTAAAGGTGATATTATGTCAGTTGTTGTGTTCACAGCTTGTTTCTGCTACCCCAGATCGGCCAAAAAATAAATTAATACAAGTTTAAATCAGACATAAATGGACAATCAAGTCAACAGATGACAAAAGTGGTACTGCAATTAGCAATTCCATTAAAGTGATAGACTTTGGTGGTTTAAAAACATTCAAAGACATTTTTTACTGACAAATGAGCAGAATTCAGCCTGGTCATGAAAAGAAAAAAAAAGAAGTCTCCTCCATCTATAATTCCATCTGTATCACATTAAAGTTATTTTAGAAATGATTTTACAGTATTTAACAGAATGATGTGGTCTTTAATGCCGGCTTTAAAAGTTAAGGCTAGGAACATTATGATTCCATACACACTTTAGCCAGGTAAAGGAACAAACAAGTCTATATAAGCACCATAGTAATTGGGTAGCATTCAATATCCTGCAGTAGCATTGCGGGGTTCTGTGACAAATACTAATAAGCTTTTGGAGGTGGGAGAAGAAGATGGACCCTGTCTGAGTTTCTAGTTAGTAACTTGCCATGTGTTGGCCTCCTGGGAGGCAATATTTGAAGAAAACAAATAGTTTAGCTATTTTTTTTTTTTGTTGTTGAGTGTTTTAAATTTGTGTTTTCTATCTTAGATACCTACTGGTTTTAAAGGTAATTGGCCCGGGCTTTTTATTTGGTGGTTATCAGAATATATTGGCCAAATCCAGGTTCTCATTTCTTATCCAACAAAGGTGCAATCAGTTTAGTAAATGTAGCCTTGAGAGAATATATGTAAACAGGCTTATAATGGCAAGGTTGCTGGGGTTTGGATTTTGCAGGCTGCCTGGGAATACATGAGTGGGGAAAGTGAACCATGAATGGCACATTTTTGGCTTCTGGAACATGTGTGACATATGACAGAGGGATAAAATTTTACAGAAAATACAAAACAAGAAAATGTGATTATTGACAGAAAAAAGACTCCAGAGGCCCAAGTGGTTGGGGGGTTCTGATCGCACTGCCTTTTTGTGAACTGACTGGTATCAAAGGATAAGACAGAGGAGTTTAGGAGTAGGAGTTTTCTTACTTAAAAAAAAAATTATAAAAAGCATACCAAAACGATGGCAACAAAAAAAAACAAACTGGGGAAAAATGCAATAAGATTAAGTATCAGTATGACGTTATATCAGGGCCATTGTAGTTAGGGGGGTAATATTCAAAGATTATAGTCAGAAATTGCTTTGCTTTTTTCTTGTAAATTTGCAACTTCAATCTTTGGGAATATCCACGTTTCTTTTTCTAGCAAATTTACAACATGGCTTTGTAATTTATAGGCTGTATAAAGTAAGTATCTTCAGTATATCTGGAGATATATTTGCTGTTTAGCATGTTCATTTCTGAGCATGTACACAATAAACAGTCCAAACAGACGCAGGGGCCTGGCCTAAGCCTGCTGTACACAAAGACCAGTAAGGCGAGTTGACAGCAAATTACCTCTGCTTTAAGAACATATACTATAAACTGGTAACTGGTTTACTTTGATGGTTTACTATAATTTAGTCTATAAAGGCATATAATATTTGATACATTTGTGGAAATGAGTGTTAGTGTGGATTGAATGTGGCAGTGATTTTTGTAAAGGAGCTAAAAAACCTCTCTTCATCTCCAGCATGAATGAAAAACAGAGTATAGCTGTTCAACCAACAGCAGCACTTATAGTCAACCTGTAAAATGTTGCTGAAAAAGACACTCGAATGTACAAAAATACTATCCAACGTGGTGACACATTTTTATTTGTCAAAAAAACGGACAGTATGCAATAGATTGCAGACTGGATCTATACAGAACGATACGATACAACATGATACGATACAGATCCGTAAATTTATATACCATTGGATCTTTACAGACACAGGTCTTTCTTGTCCAGTGAGATGCAATACAGTAGGGCCACCTCTATTCGTCTGTCTTTGCCAGGGGCCCTTTATCCCACATCCATAGTCATAACTGTGGTAACTGTTACAGAATTTAACTCTGTAAAGAATTAAATTTTTTGTGAATAGCGTGGTGCAATTACAGATATTATGACCTTAAGCAAGGCTTCTAATCTCCAGCAGCTCTTGTGGAGCCACTCATTGGCTACCAAGAGGGCATTAGAGTTGTTCTGTGTGACATGAAATCTATAAAAATACATGTATAAAGCTGAACTGAATGTCAATGCTCTTACTTCAATCTGCAGCAGGGCTTCCTCTCTTTGGCGAAGCACCTCCACGTCCTCCTCACTGATCTCAGACAAGAAGGCCTGAGCTCCTCCCTCCGAGCCTACCGCTTCTCCAAACAGTGGACCCTCGTCCATCTGTTCAGTGGACGGGGTCTGAGGACTCTGCAGAAGCACACACATACAAAACATTAAATTAGATTCTATAGTCACAATGATAGTAGATATAGTGAAGGTACTTTCTGTTAGTGAGCAGTTACTGATCTGTTTGATGCCTGACAATGTTACTGTTCAAACCAAAGCATGTTTATTTAATATTTTTGGAATTAAAGAATGGACATTTCACTAAAAAGTTTGGTCTAGCCAGTTACTGATAGTTGAACAGTGCGTTTTAGTTTAGTGCAGAGAAATGTCGGGGTTGGCTGAGACTGAGGTTGTTGAAAAAAAAACTTGGACACTTTGTTACATGTGCAAACAGAAGCACAGGAAATAGAGGAAAACATTATAGTCAGAGAAAGCCCTGGTTTACTCTTTTTGCATTGCTAATGTGTTCCACCTTTGTGTGGCTGACTACACAGCTAATTCATGATAGAGGGGCCAGTGTGGGTCAGAGCACAAGGACCCACCCGAGCTGAGTCACAGCGCTCTGTCTACTGGGCACGATCTGACTCACCACTCCTCAACAAACTCTGCAACAACGTGCTCACTCCTCCACATACATACGCTGCGGAATATATTAGTACATCACACAGATGGAAAAGACTCTCAAGACAATCATTCTGACACCTTATTGCCTTAAGTTCCCTGCTGCCGATTCCAGTCAACTCTGATGACGTGAAGTTAAAGATGTGGGTGGAAAGCAGTCGATAGCATTTGCATTGATCTGCAAAATGTTTGTCTAAATGCATATATATGGCATTCCAAATGCCAGGACGCCTCTCATCATTTGCTGTCCCTGAATTGAAAAAGCCTTCCACTTCATCTACAGCAGAAAACTTGTTAGTTTTACCAACTTGTTCTTCCACAATGTACTCACTGATTAGTGAACTTGCTGCTATGCATTTAGGGTAGTCAGATTTATATAATGTGCAAGCCAACTCGCCACCCCCTAAGCCCATTACCTCTAAGGCTAGCAGTATAAAAGACCTTGATAATATGCCTTTAGAGGAACATACAACCTTAATATATAGGTCTCTCCCATCTATAAAAAAGATGGATTTTTAGAGGCTCTTTGTGAGCAAAATGGCTCCTGAAAGAACCGTTACTGTCACGTTGGTTGAAGCTATAAATTATTTCCATTCAGTTCAACACATGGTGTCTGTCAATCAAAGATGTTCAAATCTCCACCCCACTGAAGTACTGCAGAGTGAGACACAGAGGTGCTGTTCTATTGCTGGGCTAAACTTTGAACATACAACTTTCTCCTAAGTGATGACAGGTGATCATACTTTATATACAGTTATTATTAACATAAATGCAAAGTGTGACATTTTACTTATTCTTGCCAAGAGTCAGATATTTGCTGAATATGAAACCATTGCCAGCAGCTGGCTAACATAGCTTAGCACAAACACAGGAAACGGCTGCTTTTCACAGGTTTCATGGCCATTGTAATTTCTCTTACACACTTGGAAGTGTAACTTGTATTTAGTTGGCTGAAACCTTCTATTTCACAGCTAGAGGCCACTAAATCCTACACAAAGGACCATTATGTAGGATTTTGTGGTATCTAACGGTGAAGTTGCAGATTGAAACCAACTGAACACAGCTCGCTGCTCTATTTGACAACCTAGGTTTAAGAAGAGGTTCTAAAGTATGAGGAGGAACTACAGTGGCTGCGAAAACCGTGAAAAATATGAAAGGTCTTATCTACAGCCAATGTTTGGCTTGTCTGTTCTGGGCTACTGTAGAAACATGGCGGTTCAACATGGTGGACTCCATGACCCGCCCTCCTGAAAACACACGCGATTCCTTGATCTGGTGATTCATACGCCTAATGAAAACTACCTAGGAATCCTAATATTATAGTCCTGTAATACACCAGACTCTGCATGCAATTACAGCCGTATATGAAGTGCATTTAACGGAACTCACTCCAAGTCTTACTCAACAAACTATGGGCTCTATTGTAGACTAGTCCAGCTTATGTGACGTGCTTTATCACTAAAGCAGTGGATTATAACATCCATGAGAAGAAGTCTCTCAAATAATTTGGCAGACACCTGTTCCTCCTCAGAGCCCTAGACTCTAACCCACTAACTGAGTCCTAGGCGATTGGTGAAATTCATGGATATTGTAAAGAAACTATTCAGGATCTCCATCATCTCCCTGACTTCAAATATTCACTGACTACAAATTACTAAAGAGCTACAGTATATTCTAGCATCAAAGATGTGTTTCATTCTTGCTGCTGTATTACTTCTGCTGCTGCAATCACCACACAACCAAAGATCAATAAGTTGTATTTTATCTTTTTATCTTGTTTTAGTAATCAAAAATGTCTGTAATAAGAACTGACTTTCATTCGTCAAACACAATTACAGATTATCAGCCTCTCTCTTAGCTTCACAGGGGAAAAAAACTCTTACCAGTAACTAATTTAGATTCAGATAAAAAAAGGAAGATATTTCAGCAGTGCATAAAAGTTGGATGTGATGAATGGGGTCCACTGTAATATAACAGAGTGGAAGAGACTAGACAAAGCTTCAAAAGGAACTCTTGTGAGGATGCAATTGAGCAGAGAAATGCCATCTCATCATCCTGCTCTTTTATAAATGACAGTGAAACAAAGGGCAGATTTTACCCTCCATATCAGCTCACCTTCCGCTTGTCTTTCTGTGCTGGAGGGAGCAAGGCCCTTGAGCGCTCTGCAATTTTCTGAAAGAGGAGCAAACAAAGAGGCAGGGTCAAGAAGATTTTTTTTTCTTACTAAGGAATTCAGACATTTGATTTTGTCTGTATGTGCAACAAGTAGCACTTTAGATATGTACAACTTTCTGTCAAGGGAGCAGCTCCATCAATTTATCAGTCATTATTAAGAGTTCATTGGCCATACCATGAATTTATGACTCATATGGAGATACTCTAAATGTAGATTAAATATGGATACCTTCTGTAGATCCCCATAGCGCTGCACAGACTCTGAGAGTTCAGTCTTTAGTCTGGTCAGGCGCAGACGGTCTTGCTGTGTAACAAAACAAGATTAGCTTTAATTAGCCCAAATGTTGTTTAATCCACTGTTTATTCTTCAAAAAAATGACAGTGAATGAGGGAGAAAGGGAAGCATGAAATACCCGTGAAGAACCGCTGATTATATCAGAGAGCTGTTTGATGAGCTGGCTTGTGCTGGTGATGACTTTGTTGGTTTGCTGCTGCATGGAGTGTCTGGGAAAAAAAAATTGGAAGAAAGACAGAGACAGAGAGAGAGAGAGAGAGAGAGAGAGAGACAACATTTAGTGAATTATGACAAAACTAAATTAAAGGACACTTGTCAATATGGCAATATTTTTTTATTCAGTTGTCAGGGTTTAAACGCAAGATGAACATAACCGTCATGGAAATTATATATACATTCTTAAAAACCTGTTTAAAGAAATAATCCATTCTAAAATGAAAAATCCCAACACTTTAAAAAACAAGTAATAGTCTAAAGTCTATTATAGTCTTAAAATGTATTTTAATTTCGGACGGAAATAAACCACTCTCGTGTGTGTGTATATATACACACACACAGACTAAAAAAACTACTACTTTTATAGGGCTATGAGGTGATTATTTTCTTTATCAATTAATCTGTTAATCATTTTCTTCATTAATTGATTAGTTGTTTGTTCCATAAAATGTTAAAAAATTGTTAAAAATGTCAGTTTTTCCCAAAGCCAAAAGTGACGTCCCCAAATGTCTTGTTTTGTCCACATCTCAAAGATATTCAGTGTACTATCATAGACGACAAAAGAAAGCAGAAAATATTCACATCTGAGAAGCCGAAATCAGAGAATTTGGACAAGACTCAAAACGATTAATCAATTATCAGAACAGTTGGTGATTAATTTAACAATTGACAATTAATTGATTAATCAACTAATTGTAGTACTTGCAGCTCTAGCGGCCGCCAGTAAAATCTGAAAACACTGCGCTTTGTATAGCCACAATCCATCCCTACTAGATTTTCAAGCACAGCACTTTCTGGACTTGAAAAACTAATTTCCTCCAAAACTGCAGACAACACCATTTAGCTGAATATAAATGTAACTTTTAGGAGACAGGGTTTCTTAATGGACCAGAATGCGATGTAGTTGTAGTCACATTCTGTATTATGAGAAAGCCCAAACATTTAAGGTACCAGTATACTCAGATCTAAGAATCACTTATCATGTGAACAGCCACGTTCAACACTATGAATGTCTCACAGGAGAGAATGGCTGTATTCCGAACCGCCTACTACATACTACAGATGAACAGTATAAAACTGGGAAATCGATTTATTTTGCAGTTCCTGGGTTTGTGTGACTGTGGGGTGAGACGTGTCTGAGAGTGTGACTGGTCGGCTGGCTAGCTAGCTAGGAACTTCTCAACTCTGAAAACTTTGGAGCACACAATCGATTCACCTTCAATTTTCTTTCACCTTAAATCTCGGATTTCTCAGAAGTGAAGTTAGTGATAAAATTGCAAAAAACGTCCTGTTGTTAACCTGACTGGTTGTGATTGTTCAAGCACTTCTAAAGAAATCACTGCAAAAGTACATTACATTTCTTCTCAAAAAACCCTAACCCTTTTAACTAACCCTTGTAGGACTCTCTGAGCCAGAATGCTCTCAAGTATATGATTACATTTGACCAGCACAGTGACTGAGTATTAACAGCTGTCTGATAGAGGTGAACAGTGTTACACAGCCAAATCCTCTCTGTTCCTTAATGTTTTTACTGGGAAGCTTTGCCGGGGGTGAAAGGTTGAAGGTGCGCCCTTATTCATAACTCTCAAACACGTCCGCTTCAAGTCTGGGTTAGGACAGTTATTAAATATCTATGCTGTCAGGTCATCCCAGGCTTACAACCCACTCTCTCCTCGCTTCCCCCAAAGGCCAACTCACATCCTCCAGACTTTGACACTATAACGGGCTGCCCCGCAGAGATAGGCAGCTACACAAACACACCCCTGCTGCTGCATACCCTACTCAAATATTGATCTACACGTAGAGGGTGGCAGGAGGAGCAGACAAGCTATAGTGCACTGGGGCTAGAGGGTAGCATGTCACTATAATTCTGTCTGTTGTGAGAAAAAGTCAGAGTGTCACAGTGAAAAAATACCTGAAAAACATCACCATCTCATATCTGTGCCGAGCAGGGTTAAAGACAGTTGAAGAGTCAGGGAAGTAGACAGGGTAGAAGTTAATTTTGCTTCTGGAAATAAAAGTTTTACTGTGAGGAAATAATTAAATTGGATTGTAGCCAGTGTCTCTCCCTGGCCAAAGTCATAACAGACAGAAATAGTGTCTTCAATGTGAACAAGTTTTACACTTATAATCTAATCAGAATTTAAGGCTTTAAAAAGCCAGAATGTGGTCTTATATCACCACAGTGACAGTAGGTGATAGTAAAGCTGTATATGCTTGAGATCAGTTAGTATGATAATATGAATTAGATATTCCAAAGAATGGATACTGTATAGCATTGTAGTGTATAATCAATTAAAAAAAACATTTCCATTTTACTATACTAACTTGTCTTGAGCTAAGTACTTTTCGGGCTTGATTTGCCTATATGATCCGCTGTACACATGCTTTATGATACACACACAACAGAAAGATTAACCAGCACTAAACCTTGGCCTGATGTGTCATCATTTAGCTGCTTCACATGTCTTTGCAACAGACATGAAGGGTTATTTTGAAATTGTAGCCAGCTAATGCTCCATCATGTTAGCCACCAATATTACAAAGCAGAGTACAGACTGCTAGACTGACACTCTGCATTAGGGATCCAGAGGATTAGCAAATGAAAGTCAGTGTCAGTGTGCAGGTGTGAGTGAAACAATTAATTTGTCAAAACAATATACAACGTCATTTAAATAGTTAAACTCGCCAATGACAAATTCCCACTCAGCTTCATCTCAGTTGATCTCAGAACATGTTACCTTGTTTTATTGTTGCAAACAACTTAAAGGGAACTCCAGTGAATCACTATTGCACCTTTTTAAAGATTCAGTGTGTAAGATTTAGGAGGATCTATAGGCAGAAATTGAATATTCATAGATATATTTTTCTTAGTGTATATTCACCTGACAATAAGAATTATTGTGCTTTTGCCCTTTATATCTACAGAGCTGGGTGTCACCAAAGTGGCCTGGGAAGGCCACCCCTGAAATCTGATTTAGCGCAACCTCATTATCAAGGAGCAAAGAATGGATGGAAAACTGTTTTTGTGCTTCTCATTTGTTAAGAATTTGACTATATGGTTTGTTGATCTGACTGGTTGAAGTTCCCTTGTGATAGACGGTGATAGATGGTTCATCCAATCGCCTGTCAAGTATTTTTGTAACTTTTCCAAACAGATCTGGTACTTTAAGTTGCACAGTAAACAATGTATGAAAGGCAGACCAATGGACCAACCAACATCGCAGTTCCTTTAAGGGGAAAAATCCAGTTAAAAAAGGTGCAGTTGTCAGCTGTAGACAAGGTCAATGCTCAATGACCAAACTGGGAGGATTTTAGTAAGTGACTCAATCTGCATCAACTTAAATAGACGTAAAGGTGCATTTATTTGACAAGGAGAAGTAGCAGCAAACAAAGGGAATCCTTTAAAACTTCTGGTCTAAAAATACAATTTTAGCTGTGCTTCAGTGCTGATGAGCTCTGATGGATCATCCGTGAGTCAGTGGAAGCCCCGCCCACCACTGACACGCTGTTACCAAACAATCAGAGCTCGCCCACTACCGAGGACCCATGAGAAGACCTTTGCAGTTTCGCTGCACAGTGATACATCTGCTAGTCACACTCTTCCCCCACAACAAGCTCGAGAGCCAGGCGGCCAGAAACAACATGCGGAAGATTGGAATTGCTCACACTGTGAATTTCAATCAGCCACCTCGGTTGTGTATTTCTCATTGCCTGCTTGGTGTTTGGTATTCCTTTGAGGTCTGGCTGGCCCTGGTAAAGGGGAACTGAGGGGACTGGGAGCAGCTGGCTGCAGGGGGAGGTGTGAAGGATGGAGGGGGTGCCAGGGTGGTGGTGGTGGAGTGCTGTTCTCTGACTGCAATCATAGTTTGAGGGCTTTACAGGATAGAGCGGTGCTTATACTGGACTCCTATAAGAATTAAACCACCAAACTGGAGTAACTTCCTACACACTTCCGACCTCTCACTAGCTCAAATTACAATGCAGAACATTGGTAAAACTCAGTACCGATTTAAGTCCAAAATACACCCATGCTGTGTGAGGACACCTTGTCCACACTGACCACATAGTGAAGGCAGAACATTGGTTGCTACAGTCTTCCATTTATGTCCAATCCAGAAGTTTAAATTTTAAAATCATGCTGTGACTTGTCAGCTGCCAGCTGCTGGTAAATGTGACATGTGGGTTAATGATGGGAATTATGGCTCTTTTTAGTGAGTCAGATCTTTTGGCTCAGCTCAGCAATAAAAATTGTCTCTTTTGGCTCCCAAATGGCTCTTCATTTAGTACCACTTCTCGCTTTTATAATTCGGACAAGTTTAGCAATGTTTTGACCTATGATTGGTTTGTGTTCACATAAATATACATACATAAATATACAAACATATATACGTACATATACATATATATTTAAACACACACCCACACTCACACACACGATACTCTAATCAATAATACTCTAATCAACACAGCATCTGGGACACCCAAAAAAAAGCAATGTGTTTGTGTTTTTGGTGAACAGTGAACTGAACATAAACATTGGCAACTAATGATTGAGGACATGAGCAGAGATAATGATGTTCACGCATGGTTGAGTTAAAACTCAAAAAAGTACACAAGGAAATGATGCCAGGCGTGACTTAAAGGACCGGTGTGTAGGATTTATTGCCATCTAGCAGTGAAGTTGCAGATTGCAACTAACTGAACACCCCTCATCCCTGTATTTTGATGACCTGGGAATAAAAAAAAAGGCTGTGAAACGTATAGGAGACACTACACCGTAGCCCCAAAAAAGGAAGGCCCTATCTACTGCTAGTGTTTGGTTTGTCAGTTCTTGTCTACTGTAGAAACATGCTGGTTAAACATGGTCTGTAGATAAAAATGGTTAATTTTAAGTTAACCAAAACACAGTGATTCTTATGTTCAGGTGATTATACACTAATGAAGACATAGATCTTTAATAGATCCTCCTAAATGTTACACACTGGACCTT